AAAACCTTTTAGCGTTGAGTGAGTAAATTGATTGAACTTTGCGAGAGAGGAATACCAAACCATGCTGTAATCTATCCTAATTAATCGAATCGACCAAGTCAAAATAGAAATTTAAATAAGAAAAATTACGAAAATATATTTATATTGTCTGAATTCGACCAAGACAAAATAGAATATTTAAAAATACATGAATACCAACCTTAATCCCCAAAGCAGACAACATGATAATAGTTAATCTTCCCTGCTATTGAAAAAATATACGTGAAAGACCTTGGTAATTTAACTTGGCTATCTTGGGAAGACATTATTTTGCAGCTTAAATCTTCATATTACGTTGTATAAATATAGTATTTAAGTTAATGAATACTTTGTCAATTATTATTTATGACGAACTTTGGTAAATGTTAGAATATCAAATCCTCATTCCACCAGCAGGAAAACATAGAGGTATATGGGTATCACTGGAGCTAGAGGGCAATACTTGAAAATAATTATTCTCTAAACTACAGATTTAGGTGAAGTATAATTGTTTGTTTTATTTTATCTACGTAATATCGAGAAAAAAAATAGCAGGCAGTTTATGAAGGACTGTCAATTTATTTGAAAAAGGATGGATACACATTAAAAACGTTTGACCTGAATGTCATAGTAGAAAATATATTTGATTAGAAATATCAAAATCGTCGGATTATCGTTTGCAAGGTGGGTGAATAAATCATGTATGCCTTGTTAGTTTCATATTTCATTTCATACGATCTTTTATGCAAAGGAGAAATGGTATCAAATAATGTGCGGTAGTGATATTTTGTAAGTACGAATATCAAACGTAAGTGTGTCGTATAAAACAAATATTTCGAATTCAGTGTTATATGAATGAAAGGCTGTAAGAGGTTAATGCCTCCGTTGGGGAACCGAATCCCAATTGTTGATATTTCTCCCCTCTTTTTTAAGTCTTTGTCATCGACGTCTGCGATAACCAAGGTTCCTAAATTCCTCTCTGACAGTTTTTCATTACTTTGTACGGGGAGTGCAACAGACACCATTTTATGACATAACTGGGGATTGCTAGGGATAAGTACTCCTACTGGAAATCGAACCAAAACCTCGCATTTTTTGTTCAACTAACTACTATTCAGCTCAAGCAACTCACGCTAAATGAAGCTAGAGGCTCCTTTGACACCATGTACAAGATACAGTCTATTTCACAACACTAGTCATATACTGTTATTGATAGGTATGTGGAAATTGACAATAAGAAAACGTTCCGTTTACTATTATTAACTAAGGAATACTTTTAAGTTAATTGATCAAATAAAGATGAAAACAATCCATATTACATCTATAAACATCTTTATACATCTTTTTATATTTATTGGTAATAGTATCCAAACATATTTTCATCAAATAATTGACAATAGTTTATTTGGTTTACCGTTTTCCGCTTTTCAAATTCAATTAGTTGTTACTTTAAATCTGTAAAATCACATTGTGTGTTTAGAATATATATTCCACCAGAAAGTATTTCACTTTCCTGTTTTTCCCAACAATTGTGATTACTAAAATTATCTGATAATTGACATCATGAAACATTTATTTTTACTTCTTTCCGAAAAAGTCTCAGATATGTATCTGTATATATGTATCTGTTAAATATTGACAGTATTACAATGTGTCATGTTATTTCTACAATTAAATCCATTTATATATTGATGGTTTCTTTTAATTTTTATGTTATATCAAGTGTAGAAACAAAACCCATGGAAAATTGTATCTGTACAATACTTTAATTTAATACTATAGTTATAGCGTATAAGTAACATGACTTTGACAACAAAAGTGTCGCAGATCAAAGCAAATATGCAGATTGTGAGTGGTCCTAAAATAGAATTGATATGATACTGACATAAATTCACTTTGATAAATATTGAATACTTTTTATTTCTATTCATTACAACTTTGTTCAAAAATAAAATCTAGTGAACTTCAACAGAATAAAAATGTACAATACATCATCAATATCTTAAAAGAACAAAACAAAAACGAGGAAAAAATGAGCACTAATATTTACAAAATGAAATAAAAATCATATTTGTAAACGCCGGAATGTGATGGTAAAAATAAAAACACATTATTCTAAAGAAAGTACTCGACAGTGATCAAAAGTTAGCCCCTGTGGTAAAGTAGGGATGATAATGGGTTACATAAATCTTGTAGTGTGAAATAATATCATAGGCTAGACAGTGCGTAGCTTCTATTGGCAGGTTATATTATACCAACACGATCGACATGAGTTCAGGTGCTGGGAAGCTTTAACTTAATGCGTGTGGTTACATATCCCTTTCATTAACTATGAAGAGGGCTATCAATGTATTGTATGTAATAAGTGAACTTAGTAGTAATTACCTGCCAAAGAAATCATTTCGTTTTAATTTTTATGATGTGATATTAAGAAATACATACACATTATTGTTGATCGATGATATGTATTGATAGAGAAGAGTAAGGTAACTGGTCTCAGTTTAAGCCACCTCATACCAAAGTACATATGATCTTCAAAATAATAGGAGAACAAGACTAGAAATACATATGCACTATTACTGGAAAACTATCTATAATGTATGATGTACGTTTCCTGCTTCATTTCAGTATCAATCTGTATTTTCTGGTGCCAATGATTACATTCAGAGTGCTAAATATCATAATTAACAATCACACCCTCCTTGATAGGAAATATCATACACCATAACCGTTCAACAATGTTAGGTACCGAAGCACGTTGCTGAACTCTTAAGTGAATGTATTCAATATGCTGTCTTTTGTATCATACCAATTGAATTGGTGATGACGAACGTACTGATCATAACAAAACTCTGCACATATCCTTATAATTATATACACTTGAATAAATGTAGCAATTTTCGGTTTTTCTTGCTAAAGTATAATCGATTGATGGGCAACATGAATCATAAAACAAATTAACCCTGTTGTTTAATATAAAGTAAACACTTCATTGTCATATTGAGAGTCACTATCGGATCATTTTCATTTCTAACTCTACACAAAAAATTATCTCATTTTCAAATTATTGTCGTAATAGATACCGAATTAAAGAACTAATTCATATAAAGAAAACTTTTTCTGTTAAGGAATTTATTAATTCAAACAAAGAGTGAACCAGACCATTAAAATAATCAGATGAGCACCAACGGTAAATTTCATGGTTCTTAAACTGAAGGTATTTGTTATATCCAAGCAATAAGCTACGATTTTTAATTATAACTACAACCCAATGTTGATTTGACGTTAAAGGGTTGTGTTGTTTAACTGTTTTTCTGCTTCATAATATATGCATATATCTCTGCCTGGTTAAACTATAAGATATATATATATATAAATTCAACATTAATAACGACACTTCAACACCTTAATAAACAGTATCTATGTATTGTACCTCAGTTTAGAATTGATTAAACCGGCGAGGTTCTTAACTGATCAATGATTAGTTAATGCTTATTGCAAGATAATATTAAAATTAGTGCACATGAATTCACCATCAATTAACAAACAAGGATATCAGTACTAGTAGGAATATGTATCAAACACGAACAAAATATTAGAAATGGACACGGGATATTTACACAAATAATTAATCATATTATCCTGGGGATGTTCATTACAATTTCAGTTTTCCTTTCCCACTGATGACAATGTGTCAACCATACTTTTGGTTATCTTAAACTCCTTATTGTCCATTCCCATTGTGATGTAGATATTTTAAATTATAATGTCAAGAACGTCAACAAAATAGCCTCATATATCAACAATTAAGTGTTTTAATACATTATCTTGTCTTTTCTTAGTTTTTAGTTTAATGGTGTACCAATTATATGTTACATACTTTATAGAATAAAAGGTATTAAACATCTTACTTGGTGTTTTTTTATTATAGAATATTTTTTTCTTAATGAAATAATTAATTATAGGATGATCTCATTAACTTAGTATTTGGCTCCTAGAGACAATTTGACAACGTTTCGTTTCGATATTCTAAGCATGGAAAGTCCATTAACGAAATCTGTCATACAATCTAGAATCACATGTAATTACAATACCAGGTTTGACTTAGTCGCAAATCAATAATGAAATTAATTGAATATTTTTACACATTTTACTGAAAAATTGATAAGCAGTTATAATTAAATCGAATATATATTTCATATCAATAGGAATTAAAAATAAAAGTTGCTTAAAAAATAAGTATGTGCTTGTAATAAAAAGAATAACTGAGATTGACTTGAATTTTGTTAATTAGTGTAGAATTTATACAATAAGTCAATTTAGACCATATCATTGCAATTGCCACTTCAATATGATGATTTGGTTTTATCTAAGCAATCCTAACACTTCACTACTTTTATTATCGGTTTTTGTATTTAGAAAGTCGTTTCTGTAAATCCCAGATCTGATTAAAGATATATTTTGGTGTTTTTCCATAATAGATTAATTCATTGATTTCAACTGTTATACTCAGATATATCATGTAACACTCACATTGACGGAACCGAAATTGAATTGACAAGCTTATAGAAAAAACGGTGGCATCAAAATATTGCTATTCATCCCAAAAGTGCCTTTGACATGTCTAGAGAAATCATTTGTGGTTTCTGTGTATGCGTGTCGAATTACAGCGTAAACAGAAAAAAAACTGATGGCGTCGGGGCGGGGAACTATTTAATATAAGACCCACCTCCATTTGTCAAGAAAGCAAGCATTTGGCTCATGTGAAGATATATCGCTTCTGCTGGTCACTGATAGTCATCACCGCAGGGAAAGGAGAACCGCACCTGCCGAGCAGTGATGGTTCGTCGGCTGTATTAGTATTTACGGTCGGCGTCTTATCCAAATGTACACTGTTTGCCAAAGTGTCGATATCCTCTCACTCGTTTAAAATCGATAGAACCTCACGGCTCCCCATATCAGCAGTGGCCCATGGAAATAGAATGGACAGCAAGAACAAGTGTCAAGATAGAGGGGAAACGCTGTCGTCTGCAATTTCATCTAAAGAGAAAGAAGACAGCGAGCATATGGATGACTCGGACGATAGATCCCAATCGCCAATTTTAATCACTCACCATCAGGAAAAAAAGCAACATCAGCAACACCAGCAACAAAGTTGCGTGAAACAACAGGTTAATAGTTCAGGAACAACAAAAGTACGACCTATTCTTTCATTTGGAATCAGCAGAATCTTGGACAATGATTCGAACTCAGATTCGGACTGTCAGTCAGGTGGTGAGGATAACGGGCCGTGTGATGGTCGTACGAGGCGCGGAAATGTCACGCCAGAAAAACACTGTCTATCTATGAAAACAACTGCAGATGAGGATGACAAACCTTTCATACAAATTCCTAAACTTACACCAGAATTATTTGCATCTGTTGCAAATGGTTACCATGGATTCCACGTGCCTCTGACGGTACCTATTCACCGACCCCACCCCGTGTTTCCCACTATGACGTCATACACACTGCCTGGGTGGCTCGACCTTCGACGGGACAGGTTTGGTGGTAAGCTAAATTAAATTTTTGTTTTATGTAATTTTATAGTGCAAATTGATAATTGTGTAACATTCATAGTGTATATGTATTTATTCTGACTAAATGTGCTAAGACACGTGTGCAGTGATACAATTATTGGTTTAAAAATAGCAACATGGACAGTTCCTCAATCATAACGAATTACATTTATTGACCATGATTACATCAGAATGGCTTTATTGGAAATAAATTATCATTTACCTTTTTAAAAACCATAACAACCCCACATGCTTCTCTAATCTAGGTTAAACAAAAACGGGCGAAAAATTGTCTACTAGAATTAATTAACTCGAAGATAATTAGTTCTGACAACCTCTAAGGGTTTTACGTCATATCGACCTTGATCTTTATGTAATGATTTAAAACGGGTTAAAAAATATTAAACCCCCTGTAAAAAGTATTTGTATCTTGACAATAATGCCTGTCTCACTACTCCCGAACGACGTTTCTTATTCTTTAACTATATCGAAAACGGTTCTCGATATCACCGATAAGTTTTGGATAGATGTTTTGCATTTTAATTGTTCATTTCTACAATACGTCATTAAAAACGCGTTCATGCTTAGTTTGAATAGAGGTGCCCTAGCAGTTCTTTGAATTACATTATTTTCTGGTAATAAAACACATTCGTAATTTTGACAACAAAATGTATGCAAACAACAAAGATAATCTATTTAATATCGATAATTCTAAAATCACGAAGACAATAAAATCTGTATCTTCATTAGAACGATTTAAATCAATGTTTCAAAGATTAGTTTATTTCACTATGAATGTGGCGTTGTCTTGTGTACTGACTGAGCAATAAATTGTTCCCGTTATAAACGCTGATGTTTATCAATCACAGAGGGAAATAATCAGCTTTCTAATTCTCAAAAGGAAAAAAAATACAAATTTTATTAAAATACGACATCTTTGTTAACAAAGTATTAGATTAAACACTTGATTGGAAATATAAATTCACGGGGCTCTCTCTTTACATCATTGTATTCAATTCAAATTAAAAACTTTTAGAAATCACAAACGTAAACTCGTGACCTGGTTTGTAATTTAATTCAAGGATGGTACTACCTGGAGGATGAAGATATAACACTCTCTTCGTAGCAATCAGAACGCAATAACAGTTTTATTGTAACACGCTTCTCTAATTAATTGGTTTTTGGCAGCGCTGAGCTATAAATTTTATCCCTAATTACTAAGAGATTTACACTGCTAATGATGTTTCGGTATTTGACAACTATAAAACAAAGTTACTGCATGAGTATGATAGGTTGAAGGGAGGTAGACGCCTTGTCAACAAAGCATTGTTAGCTTTATGTAAAACTTTGGTGAATTAATGATCGAATGTCAACCACATAACGATCATATGTTTGGAAGTACATGTTTTGTAGAAGTTCATTATCTTCGGCGCACAGTTATGGTATTCAAGCCAAAAAGTGTTATTTTAGAGAGAGAAAAAACAAGATTGCTTAGATTATCTATATCGAAATAGTTTAATTATAAATATACCTGTATATTTCGCAAATGAAATCGACTTCTTTTAATTTTTCAATAAAATTTACTGAAATGAAATACATCAAATTGATTTTGGATCACCAGATTAGTGATAAGTTTATTAAATAGGAATGTCTCGTGGTGTGTCAAACGAAAGAAAATATTGTGGTCAGTTGTATTGATGATTTCAAATCAGTAGTATGTCACTAGAATTATGTGTTTGCCTAAGTATGTCTATCGTCATAAATTTAAGCCAAATAAATCGTGTATATAAATGTTATGTTTTAGATACAACTATATGGTATCATTTTCATGCAAATAAATTATATGTGATAAAACAAATGTGAAGTTTTTTCAATATGTAACTGTAACCTCTTAATGTTTTCCTAATGACATTCACATGGGTTAAAACAACGAATAACAACAAAACACCCTTTTTCTGAATATCTATCAGTATATACACTAACATTCAGTTTCTTTATTCAATAGACTTATTGAGAATAACAAGAACTTTTTAATGTTTCCTTTGTACTAAATTAACACCGCTCATGCATTTTTACAGACCATTTAGCGGCTATAGCGACGAAACTCTGCATTAATTAGTTTGATATACCTTGTTGTTAAATATGTGTCTTTTCTGTCAATCACATTTCGGTAGATAGAACATTATCAATAAGGGTACAGAATATGAGTATTGATCGGATGTCGTTCGTGAACAATTTACAACATTCAGCTATTGTAGATTATAAGTAATCCAAGTGCGACATACATCATGGAAGCAAAACATATCAGTGTTGTAGATGAGATGGTCATTGTAATATATTTATATCATGTATTCCGCACTGGATTTTTTCATGTTGCCATATGTTTGTAGATTTATCTTTGTCAAAATAATAATGTTAAACGTTAATGAGATTGCATTCAATTTTTTTTGTCACGGTTTTTGTGCTGTTTGTTTTTTATAAATATGATTAACTGACCCACTACTCGTCATTCCCAGAGCCGTCCCTGTTGTATTGCATTCGTCTAATTACAGCGATTTCAGCCACATTTCAAGTGAAGTCAAGTTTTAGCTGGTATATTGATACAAAGGATTTGTTTTCGGGCACATCAACCTGTTTTATTTGAATCGAGACAAGATTTATTTTTCATGCCAAGGTACTTACCTGAAACGTGACGGTAATTAAAACCCATAACAACCCAAACTTTCACACTATAACCCTGATCTGATATTGAAAACACATAGTGTCTCATTGGCTCTTGTCAAGACACCTGACAGGTCATGTAGCGGGGAGAAGATTCATAGGTCCCTAATTAATGACAAAGGCTAGAAGTCATAAAATATTCACAACTAAAGATTTATTTTAGCAAATTCCCAAACTCATGGAAAGCGACACAAACTGACTAGATAGTCGTTATTCATTACACATTTAACACTGTGTCTTCTCAAGTTGAACTTATAATCAGGAGTACAATGCAGTTACTTACCACACACTAGAATAGCTTTACTGCATTTACTCTGTTAGTAAGGTAAGAGATATGAGATAGAAGTCGATATCTAATCATTAGGTGAAATACATAATTGATGTACATACGATAACAAACCAAAAAACATGTTCATTATCTTTATATACATTGGCAATTACCAATGCCATAATTAGTCAATGAAGCTGATATTTTTTACCATTAGTATCTGATTGTATTGTTGAGTGTTTACAGCTGATCATATATAAATATGAACTGAAGTGATTATGTTATTATGAGTTTTCAAAAACATTTGTTTTTGTGAGAGAAAAAATGTTTTGATTCAAATTTGCACATATAATTAATATTTCTATGCGCACATGCTGATTATTTTTGACCAAATAGAGGTGGCGTTTCCCTGGTATCGCGCAACTGTCAATCACACACAAGATAAATATACATATTTATTTACTATACCTTTTTTACAACCAATTACTATCTGTGTTTTTCATAAATTCAAATAAATAAAAAAAATGTGGTTGTACAGATACTTGTTTCGCAAGCTGTTTACCATTAAACAATAGCTGTATCGTAGAGATATTGGCCAACATCTTTTTTAAAGATTTGGTATTAAAATTTACACACTTAAACCATTAAACAATTACCTAATATCAACTCCAAAGCGATCTTCATAAGATTTGTATTTAAAAAGTTGAGGCCTATCTTTAACCCGATATGAAATTAATAAGAACACTGTAATCATCTTGACAACAATAAATTTATATTAACTTCCATACACATTGTCGGACCTGCATTAACAGGAATTTGAAAAACGATATTGTAAAAAAAAAAAAAAAAAATCAATATCACAGAGGATGACTATAAAGTAAATACTACATATATTTGTATTTCATAACACAATAAAGGATACCATCAACTGAAAACTGATTCAGCGTAAATATACCATTGTTCAATTGATTCATAAATGATGCATTGTTTGTCACTGGTTTGTTAGCTGTACAGCAAGATGACACCGCTAGATATTTTAATAAGGTTGTGCTGAAATATTAGTTCCACTATATTTCTGCAAGCAATGGATAAGAAAAGCCATATAACCTGTCCTGTGTTGAGACAGTATTATAAATATAACAGGAATATTTTTTACCAAAGCCAAAATATACTTTTCAAATCATAAATCATTAATGATATTCATGAATACGTTACTGAGCATAACAACTACTTATAATGCCTGTGTGCTTAACAATTATCTATTAATCCAGTAAAAGAAAAATGTTCTTCAACATGCATATCGGAGATTAATCAGATCATGAATTCATTGCATTGCAGTCGATTAATACACATGTTAATTTTATATCTTCAACTATTCATGTATTGAAATGTTGCAATGTATTAATTTTATTGACATATTGACGATGGCGTAAAATGATACATACACTTACCACAATAGTGTTGTTTTTGCAGCAAATAGAGGGCTTAGTAAACAATATAAACATGAATAACTTCATTCCTCACCTTAACTCTAAATATCTTTAGACTCCATTTCTTGTGGAAAATATCTAAAATGCGATTAACTGACTTTTTATGTGAAGTGTTCAATTTATTTTATTTTTTCTTCAAGCAAATCGAAAATCCATAATCGTTTCTTTAAAAGAATACTACCTACAACTCAGATTGGAACAATAAAGTCAAATTTTCTTTTGTAGATTTGTTTTTCCAGAAATAATTTTTTTACGGACAAGCAGGTTCCATCGTAAAAATAAAACAAATTATTTCAATAAGAGGTTTCTGGTTTTAGTAATAACAAAAAAGATTTGAAATTAATGTGTTGATTTTCTTGTATTTAAAATGAGACAGCGTCCGTCACATGTTTGAAAAAGGCTGATAAATTTATCTCTTTAGTCAATAATTTTGATTTTAGATAAATTTGTGACATTAATTGTATGTTGCTTATATATAATACATTTATATTAACGTTAAGTTCAAATTCCAAC